CAAAGAATTATCCAGCCCCAGGCGTCAGCGGTGCCCAGGTAACAGCCACCTGTAGCACCACCTGACTAGCCATTGTTGCCTGATGTTTAGAAACTCAACGCTTCCCCAGGAGGCGAACTTTCAGGAAAAGATTTGGATGCTCCAGAAACCTGTCAGTAGAAAAACTTAGATTTACGTAATGCATTGTTCTTAGTAATAATATCCCACTCCACTAGTCGGTCTCTGGAAAAAAAAAAAAGAGATAGTCCAGCCAGAATTTCAGATGAAGGATCTGAAGTTAATAGGCCTAAAAGCATCCATCAGTTTGTCTTCCTCCCAGGCTGCCAAATCCTTTAATCGCCTGTTGATTTGCACCAATCTTGGGAATCAAATCCTATACAAGTTAATCGAAGCCAGCCGTGTTCCATCTTGCTATTAATGAAATCGTGAATAAATTAAATACTGTACTCTTTCCAACAACCTGTCCCAGCCGCTGTGCACTTGTAACTCTGCGTCTTTCACTTATTGCAGGACTTAGTCGTTCGTATTGTTTTCATTCTTGGCAACCTGACAGCGAAAAACAACCAGGCTCGTGAACAGTTTTTCAGAGAGAAAGGCAGCATCCCAACCCTGCTGTCACTATTCCATACGTTCTCCGAGCTGGATCTGCGTCCCCAGAGGCCAGCAGGTGACGGAGAGGAGCAGCCCCGGCCACAGAAGCCACAGGCCCCGGCGGAGGACATGCTCGTCAAGCTGACCCGCGTGCTCGCCAACCTGGCCATCCACCCGGGCGCCGGGGCCGCCTTGGCCGCCAGCCCGAGTGTGGTGGGCCTGCTCCTGGCCACGCTGGGTACGGCCCCGGCTCAGGCGGCGGGAGCTCTGTGGGCTGGGTGTGCTGAGGGTTTTATTGGTACAGTCAGCTCACTTTAGTGAGACTTTGCAGCCCTGTGAAAGAAAATTCCTCTTCCGTTCAGAGCTGCCTCAAGGGTAATCCAGATTTTTTAAAAAATGAAAACATAGTAATACATATTATTGCTAAACCCCACTGAACTGTGTGTACACTGCAAGAGGGTGCATTTTATGGTACGTGAATGGCATGGCAATATTTATAAAGAATATAGATCCAATTACTAAAAATTGGCCAGAATAACCACAAAGAGTTCAAAAATCCTAAATTTTTTCCATCATTAGTCCACGTGATTAAAGTTTCCTTATCTTTTTATTTTTCAGGTTGTTACATTATCTATAATTACAGCCTGCAGTTATTCAGGCCCTATCTTTTCCCTCCTGTATTAGTCAGCTCAAGCTGCCAGAACAAAAGACCACAGACTGGTTAGCTTAAAAAACAGAAATTTATTTCTCAGAGTTCTGGAGGCTGGAAGGCCACGATCAGGGTGCTGGCCTATTTGGTCCCTGTGAGAGTTCTCTTCCCGGCTTGCGGATGACTATGTGCTCGCGTGGCCTTTCTTTGATGTGTGCAGGTCTTCTTATAACTCCTCCAGTCCTATCAGATAAGGACCCTGGTGGCCTCATTTAACTTTAATTGCCTCCTAAAATCCCTATCTCCGAATACAATCCCATGTACTGTCCATTTTCCTCCCTAAATAGTTTTTCAGTCTGTCTACTGTGCTCCATCTCCACCATCACCCAAGCCTAAGCCACAGTATTTGTCATCTGAATACCACAGGAGGCTCCTCGCTGGCATCCTTGCCTCTGCCCTTCTCTGCGCTGTGGCCGGAGAAGTCTGGAGGCTGAGTGAAAGACAGGGACAGAATTACTTGAGTGCCAAGCTAAAGGGTTCACTCATTCATTCATTCAGTTATTCTTGCATTCAGCAATTATTTATTGAGTGCCCCCTGTGTGCAAGACACTGTCTCAGGGTGCTGGCAATGTAGCAATGAATTAAACAGACAAATCATTCGTCCTGGTGGAACTTACATTTTAGGACTAGAAGACATATATTAAACATATAAGTCAAGTGGTCACATGTTCTATGGAGAAATCAAAGTAGGGTCAGGGGAAGAGAGAAGAATGATGCCATTTTATATAGAGTGATTAAGGAAGCCATGTCCAATAAGGTGACATCTGAGCAACAACCTGGAGCACATAAGGAGTGAGCCAAATGGATAACCAGGGAAAGAATATATTCCAGACAGAGGGAATAGCAGTGTACACATTCTCAGGAAGGATCATGCTGACATGTTCAAATAGACACCAGTGTGAGTGGCTTTGGAGGCCTGGGGGCTGGAGCAGCAAATGAGACCAGAGAGGTCAGGGCTGGAGCAGCCCAGGGAGGGCTCGGGGACCAAGTGAAACCAATGACATTATCTGACTAACTTTTAAAGGATCACCATGCTGAGGATAGACTCAGAGCGGTGAAGGTGGATGAACAGAAGTCAATTAGGGGATGAGAGATGGGTTAGATGGTAGCAGAGCAGGTGAAGAGTGACCAGATTCTGCATGTTTAGGGTCAGGGGGAACCAGATGGGATTAGAGACGGCGGGGCTCACTGGTGCATTGGCACCTCAGCTTTACTACAGACCCTCTGGCTGGAGGGATGGAGCTTAATGTTCTCAACCCTGGGCAGGAGTGATCTCCTGCATGCGGTGCATTTCCCTGCAGGAAGGGCCATGGAAATAAAGCAGCAAACTGCCAAGGCAAGTGGCATCCTTGCACAGACCTAGCCCAAGACAAGGGCGAGTTCCTGCTGCAGCTGGATTCATGCTGCTTGAGGATGGCTTTGTTTCTGCCCTATGGTGAGTCTGTGATTCCCTTACTTTGTTTCAGAATACAAGTCAATCGATGATTGTGAGGAGCTGGTCATCAATACTACAGCAACAATCAACAACTTATCTTACTACCAAGTGAAGAATTCTGTCATTCAAGACCAAAAGCTACATGTTGCTGAATGTAAGGTTCAAAGTTGGGTTTGGGTAGATGCATGTTCATTTAAGGTTTTGATTTTATTAACTAAACATAGTTCTAGAAGCATTCATATTTCCTGATTTCCTGAAACAAATATCTAAGAGCCTGATTTGATTCTGAGAAATTAGACTATGGGGAAAAGTTAGCTTCTTAGTTCTTGCTAAAGTCCCTGGCTGTTTGTATTTTATTATCATTTTTAATTTTTGAATTATCAGTATTAGTTATTAGTACTTTCTGTGATTATTGAGCTATGTTATTGGTTTCTAATAGCCTTTAAATCAACACTTAAATTCACTGATTTAGCCTGGCTGGCATGGCTCAGTGGTTGAGCATTGACCTATGATCCAGGAGATCCTGGTTCAATTCCCGGTCAGGGCTCCATCTCCAGTCGGGGACGTGCAGGAGACGGCCTATCAATGACTCTCTCATCATTGATGTTTCTATCTCTCTCTCCCTCTCCCTTCCTCTCTCTCTGAACTCAATAAAGATAGATTTTTTTTTTTTTTTTTAATTCACTGATTTATTTCTCTGGTCACCAAACCCAGTGCTTTTAAAGCTGCTCGTGAGTAACAACATGGACGGAGTCCTGGAGGCTGTGCGTGTCTTTGGAAATCTCTCCCAGGACCGTGACATCTGCGATTTCATTGTACGGAAGAATGGTGAGTTAGTGACAATTCCATTCATAAACATGCTCTTCTCGCCAGTAAACAGCGGAGCTGCCTGAGAGCTCGGGTCACGACAGTGTAACGCTTGTTTCCGCTTTGGGACGAGCGAGTGCTTTACATTCTGTTCCGCGCGGACGTAAGGCTGTTGGCGCAGGATGCCAGGGTGGACTGGGCGTGCTCTCCGCGTTCCCTCTCCCTCGGGGAGGCCTTCTCACTCCCAAGGTGGGGCGTGTGTGTGTGGGGGTGTGTGTGAGTGAATCGAGTTATCTATGCTCTCATTTCTGTCCGTGGAAACAGACTCAAGAGAGAGTCTCCTTCATGTCCTAGAATGTCCATTACAGTACTACTTGTAATAGCAAAAGATGGAAACAAATGTCCATGAACAGGCAAGAGGAAAAATAAATTATGGCATAGTCACACCACAAAATGTTTTATAGCAATGAAAATAAATGAACTAGAGGTTATGGATCAACCTCAAACACTTAAAATCTAGGAGCAAAAATGTTAGTGATGGGGGATATATACAGAATAATGCCATTGAGGCAAGTTTTAAAATATGCAAAACAATCTTGGGGTATTGTTTATGTAATACACTCATGTAGTACTGGTATAAGGTAAAAATGGTATTTGGAACTGATAAACTCCACATTTAAACAGAAGTTATCTTTGGAGGCAAAGGAATGCCCAGATATAAAATTGGACAGGTAAAGTTTTATTTCTTGAAAAAGAAAGTTTCATATATACAGTAGTCCTTTTTCTTTTGAATGCATCTGATTTCCATCCTATGCAAATTCAGACCTTTCTTAAACTGGATGGCAGGTACACAAGAGTTTATAGTCACCGTTCTCTGGATGTCTCAAATATTTCACATAAGAATAGCAACTAAAAACATGTCAACATAAGAAATGTCCAAACCTGCAAAGAATTTTTATGAGTTTATTTGAGCCAAATTGATGACATATCCTGGGGAGCAAGGTCTCAAATGCTGCTGAGAATAGCAATTTTGCAGCTTCTCTTACATGCTTGAAATTAAGGAAGGAGTGTGAGGAGAATTGCACAAGGGTGGGAGAAAGCGAGGCGGGGGTTGGGTTACACGATTTCATGCTATCTTAAGGGTGGTGACCCCTTTGAGAGGCATCACTTCTGGCATCTCAAAGGTGCGTTATCCTAGATGAACAAGAACAATGGAGGAGCGGGCTTAAAACCTTTTAGTACAGAAGTGATAGGCCTGGGGTGTGACTACCCTCCACGGCCTTCCCAGTTAGGAATTTATTATTTACTACAGCACCCCGTTTTCTTCCACAAATACCTAATTATCCATGTTGACGATAGAAAGTTTAGATAATGCATGGAGGAAACCAGCAGCAGCAAGCGGCTGCCCATCACCTCGCTACCGCAGAGACGGCGCTTCCCATTCTGCTGTGCTCTTTAGACCCTTGAGAACACATGTATGTGAGGCAGCCTTTGCCAAGCTCACTGTTGGGCCCACCCGTGGGGCCAAGGCCAGAGCAGGGTGGCCGCCTCTCAGGTGTGCAGGAAAACAGGAGGAGGCAGGGCACACACCTCCCCGCTGTCCCCCAGCCCTTTGCCCAGGCCCAGCGGGGGGCTGAGAAAACAAGACAATGAGCTCCGTTTCCCAGGAGTAAGGGAAACCGTCCCAGAGGCGGAGCACGCCCCTGCTTGAGATGCCCCCTACCCACGAGGTCCTGCCTTGCCACAGGCCGGTTCCGGTGCTTTGATCAGGACTTCTGTGGCCCTGGAGGACTTCTGGGAAGATCTCAATAGGACCCTTCCCCAGGGCTGTGTATTTAGAGAAAATTGCTGCNGAGCAGGCCCCTGCTTGAGATGCCTCCTACCCACGAAGTCCTGCCTTGCCACAGGCCGGTTCCGGTGCTTTGATCAGGACTTCTGTGGCCCTGGAGGACTTCTGGGAAGATCTCAATAGGACCCTTCCCCAGGGCTGTGTATTTAGAGAAAATTGCTGCTGGGGGTTCCCAAAGGCCCTTGAGATGTTAAAGATGAATGTCACTTGTGTGGTGGGAAGTCCATGGCTTCCTCCTTTCCACTGGCCAGAACTACACTACTGCCTTGCAGAGGGAGCTGCTTTCTGGGTCAGATATAACAATACCTGGGGGGCAGAGGATCTGGGGGTGGGAGCAGGTTCTGGACGTGGTGGGTGTTGGGGAACCCGCTGCTGGGCAATGGGTAATGCCTTAGGAAGAATGGGGTAAAATCCCCTGTAGGGCTTGCAGTTTGCAAGCTACTCCCCTTTGCTTTTTCCCCTTTCCCCTTAAATAAGGGGGAATAAGCTACAGCTGAGAACCTGAACTTTACTGTCTGCATTTGCTGTCTGCCCTCCCAGTGCACAAGTTCATGATCGCACTGCTGGACGCCAACCATCAGGATATGTGCTTTTCTGCATGTGGTGTTCTCCTAAACCTCGCTGTGGATAAAGACAAGCGTGTCATCCTAAAGGAAGGGGGTGGCATTAAAAAGTAAGTTTCAAGGCACGGAGTTCCAACTCTCTTGGATTCAGAGGGCATAGTTTTCCTGGGACTGTAGGCCCCTCTTGTCATTCCTCTGGGGCAGAGAGATTTCAATATTTGGAAGAGACAAGTTAGGGCTGCAGAGGGGATTTAGGTTCCATTGGACACATAAAATAATTCAGAAGCAGATTACTGCAACTCTGTAGCTATTTAAATTTGTAGATATGAAAATTATTTTAAATAATCGCCAAATTATACACGTTGCATATTAAATATTAGAGAAGGATAATCATTATTGTGCTAAATATATAAAAGTTAGAGATTCTGACCTAATAACATCTCAGTTTAACTTTCATTAACTCAGGTTAGTGGACTGTTTAAGGGATTTTGGCCCTACTGACTGGCAGCTGGCCTGCTTGGTTTGCAAAACATTATGGAACTTCAGTGAAAATATCACTAATGCCTCCTCATGTTTTGGAGACGAAGACACCAACACACTCTCGGTCCTGCTGTCATCACTTTTAGGTAAGCCTCCTCACTGTCGTCTGTGAGTATTAGCAAAGTGAGGTAAATCTTTTTTCTGTGCCCTGTATGGATAAAGATTGCCATGCATTTGGGCAGCTATATTTCTCTAAGCAACAACAGCCTGGTAAAGATGATTATAATTAAGAAATATCTGGAAGAGGCCAAATGTTATTTACAGTGGGAGCACAAAAACTTTTAACTCATTGGACACTGTCATGATTTCTTCCAGGGCTTTTTTCTCTTTTGCATTTTCTATAGAGTGCATAAATACAAGATGATGCTGTTTAAAAGAATGGTTGTAATTGAGAAAACGTGGCAAAAGCTACTGTGAATTAAATCATGCTTTTGAGTGAATCTGTACAGTTAATTAGCAGCTGTGTTAGTTGTCAGCTGAGAACCCTGACTGAGCCCTACTGGCCCACATCTGGTCAGCGTCTGCGACACTATCTGCCGTTCCAGTGCAGTCCATACCTTGGAAGGTGGGAAATCGCTGATACGAACCAGAGGAAAGAAGACAGCTTCTTCCATTTTTAGAACTTCCATTTTTAGGATAATTGTTTCCATACAGTGACTGGGGGCAGTAGGAGTGTTTTCAATACTCCTTTTTCCTAATGGAGAAGGCCCTACATTGCCCAGCGCCATCTGTATCAGCAGGGCGGTAGAAAGGAGCCGTTTGCTCGGAAACTGGGGTTCAGGTGGTGTCGTTTGATAAGAGAATCTCTCAGAAGCTGTCTTTTCACCTCTAAAATGGGGAGCTGATCATCGCTGCCCTGCTGCAGGGAGTCACGAGGGCCAAACGTCCTGAGTGGAAAGACCCAGAGGCCGCAGTCAGTGTGCGTGTGAGCCCGTGTTGGCGCTTACAAGAGAGGTTTCACCCTGTCTAGCACATTTGTCCCCGTGCTGAGACTGATGTCCACTTCGCAGAGCTGCGAGGATGATAAATGAGCCGGGTGTAGACAGAGATTGATACAGCGCCTGCGCTCGCCAGGCCGGCAAAACGTGCTCGCCAAGGTGCTTCGTAAATCCGGAGCGTCGTGATGATGACACATTAAACCGAAACTCAGAGCTAGGGGGTTTGCTGGGCTCATGTGAAATTTGCTTTTTCCAGATAAATATAATTTTGTTGGTGTGAGAGTAAGGGAAAATGAACATGATTTTAAATCATTGAAGTTCACAGTCTGCCCTGTGAACGTGAAGCTTCCGCCCGGTTGCCAGGAGAAGTGCAAGCTCGACTTGCCCTTGCTCAGCTCTCCTCCGGGGCAGGACATGGGGGTCAGCTGCAGAATTTAAGAAAAACACACTCATCCTCCCCATCCCCAGAATTCTGAAGCCAGGAAGCCAGCATATTGCCCAAAGCCTGCCAGGGAGCACCTGGGAGGTAGCTGCAGGGGGAGCCGGAGCCCTGACTGCCCCCTCCGTGGCT